TCCAAGTCTTCTATGTCATCCTGGGTTTGCCCTGTTTTCTCTTTTAGGCTTTTGAAATCTTTGTTAAATGTGATGGTTGTCTCTGACCATACTGCTGCCAGCTCGTTAATATGGCGAACTGTTTTATTCAACTTCTTTGTTACATTTTGAATCTGCTTGGTATGATTGGCGAACTTGTCAAATATTTGTTTAAACTCCTTCTCATTGCCTGTTCCTTTGACAGCTGTGGAGACTTGGTTGCTGAGATTTTCTATGATTGCTGACTGGGCTTTGACCAGGCTCGTCACAGTTTCAAGATTGTTTGAAAGCGCGTTAATCTGATAAAAAATGTAATGTTGTGAGCGTTCATTAAACAATCTGGAACCCTGACCCTGGAGCCTGGATTCGGGGGACTTACGAAACGGAGGTAAAAAATGATGGATATTTACCCAGCTGTAAAGTGGGTAGGTAAATATCCACCACACACACTGTTTTACTACATAACACACAAGCTTAAAATTTTATATCTGACTCTGTACCGAAATTCGACCGAATATCAAACTAGTGAAAAATTTTCAGCGTGATCGTCTACGTAGGCAAAAAATAAAATCCTGTCTCACTTTTCAAGGGATCAGCAGAACATCATCGGAAGTGATAATGGGAGAAAACACCACACTCTATGACTGGACTCCAATAGTAGCAATACCCAATAAGAAATGTCAGTCCCTTTAGATTTCAGGTAAATAAAGGGCTGCGGAAACTTAAAATTAGCCACTTACTGTTTCCTTATCAGCCTCATTTTGGCCGCTTCCTTCGTTGCCGTAGAGAACAATAGCTGTTTGGGAAGAAAGCAACTGAGCAGGTTACTATTTTCAGCATTTATCATGGAACAGTTCATTTAGAAAGTCTACTCAATTATTTACAGTGTCCCCGAATATTATATCGCCTGAATAGGGTGAAAAGTTTGAAAGAAATGCTATAGACAACCTCAACGTATTGACCTTGGCAACAAACACAAAAGAAACGACTGATAAGTCGGTGATACAGATTCAGAGCGTAATTTTGTTGGTAAAAAAATGTCTTTTGGCGAACCATGATAGTTTAGGTATGCTTAGGGTTTTCTTGGAGATGCCTCTCGCCGAGCGACATCTGCGTTTAGTCCGCTAAAACGTTCATTCATGGCGGCAACTTCACATGAGCTGCACAAGGTCAGTGTTTGAGTTGAGCGATTTCTGCGACTTGACTGAGAGGCTATGACACTAATACAAGGAACAGGGGTATTACGAACAATTACCTGATTGATGTGGTTTCGGATGATACATGATCAACTGTTTTTTCCCACCCTTCCTGTTCGGCGTTTCTCCTGAAATTTTAAATACAAACATCGCCAACACCAGGACATTAATCACGCGAAAGTATGCCACATTCATCTCGCACTAATAACAGTTTGAATGCTTAAGCGGTGAGCAGGATTATAGAACCTTTCGCTCGAAACGAGTACATCTATATTTCCAAACAATTAAGAATGCGTTGACGCGTGATGTACGTCAAATACCGTTTAAAATATCAGCAGGTAAGCAATTGAAGATTTGACGTGTGATTACATCCGTTTGAATTGTTCACACAAGCTGTTTCCTATCAGAGATCAGTAAGTACAACTAGTTTGGTGAAAAGCATATACTGGAAGCTCTGTTACACCACTCTTTTCCAATTAATTTACCCCACGCGTAAAAAGGTGAAACGAAGAAATGTTTACCAAAAGGTGAAAATTAGGGATAGGCTCTCAGAAAAGTCATGGGTTAGGGCGGGATTTTCTGGAGATGCAACTATTATTATAATTTTTCTTTTATAACAAGAGGGCATTTTGCCTTCTTTATAATTGACGGGGGAATCGCCTCCGTTTCCTACGACCTCCCCTCCCACCCCACCCCCTCTCTCTTTACCGTTGGTCCGTCCCTAAGGCCACCACATTTCTCGGAGCCTGTTACCCGCGTTAACCTTCAAACTCTCAAGATCTGATTGTTAATTTTCCCTCCAGCTGCTACACATTTCCTTGTAAATTGGGTATGAGAATTTGGTGCTAGATCAAGAACACGACTTCTACCTGATAAGTTTGAATATTCGCCTTACCAATTTGCTGGATAATGTAAGGAAATTATAGGGAGAAGTTTCATGTTGATCATTTCTGAGAGTCAATGGGTAAAGTTATTTAAAAACGAACAGGACGCTGTGTTGGCGCAGAGCAAAAAGCGACCCATCCCACGCCTCCCTCTTATTTTCCTTCTGTGTAACTAACGCGTTCCATTTTTACACGCCCGTTCACTTGCTGAACGCACGGGAAAGGTTGGTTTATAGATAGTTCCTCTCATGAATTATCATTCGCCAAATACAATTCCCGTTTGGTTTTTAATTTTGCAAATGGGAGGTTCAGCAGTTCTCATTACAAAATAAACCTAATAATTGTAAGAATAATAAATTAAATAACAATGGCATTTGGTTGTGCATTTTCCAATAAGGGTTTCGAGGTTAGTGAGACACCAACACCGCTCGCTTTCAGCAAGAGGATCAGACGAACGCCACCTTTACGCTGGTATATTGACACCGTTAGTGAAAGTGGAAAAACATGAGAAATCGCTCCTTAAAAATAAAGCAATTTTCTCCTGTTGAGGCCTTAATAAAGGTGTTTGAGGAAGATATGCTGTAAATCCCTTTTATACCAACTCCCCCCCTCCCCTCCTTGGCAAATTACACCAACTGTGAGTAGTACAACAGCTGTGAGTAGTTAAGGGCAGAATATGGAAAACTTGTGATAGGAGATGATACTAATCAGCTTCCCAACACATTCATTGAAAAAATAACAAAATCTTTAACCCTTAAACGCCTTAGTGTGACTGGCATCTAATTTCTCCTGACCCCTAAAAACATCACCCCTTAAGAAAACATTAAGGGTCATGAGAATAAGGGAAATGATCAATAACTAATAAAACAAGCTCTTGATTGTTAAACAAATTCTCTTTTTCAGAACCTTAAGAAATGTATAGAGAAAGTATGGAGAATATGCATACTGATGTTGGAGTGTAAGGGGTTACTATTTTCAAAAGTTTTGATGTAAGCCTGACTACTTAAGTCCCCATGAAATGTTTAAAGAGTTGGATAAGTTAAGAGTTGAAATCCAGTATTTTAAAGTGAAGTGTTGACAGAACTTTGTTTTTCACTTTGTATGGAATAGATCACCCTATTTTCTATCTATTTGCACAATCCTTACGACATTACTTCCATTCCTTTATTCTTGTCATGACAACACTTGAATTCTTCATTTTAAGTGTTCTTCATCTTAATACCAAGATTTCATAATTGAAATCATTTAACACAGCACTGTTATTTAAGGGAATATGAGGGAAGATTCCTTTCACAATACAGTATTTACAAGTAGGGTGGTTTCTTTAACATGAGACATTCTGTACACTTTTACGCTCTTTGGGGAAAGGCATCAGCATTCCTTCTTGGCAATATTTCATTAGTGCTGCCTTCCAAGCCTAAAACACAAGAAAAAGTGTTTAAATGTCAGATTTCTTCTCAAAAAGTCTAACCTATTGGTATTAACTTCAGAAAGATATTCTTGCTATTCTTTGTTATTACCACTTTGCTGGGAGGCAAGGGTGTGGTTAGTAAGAGTGGTCAAAAGGTATATCAGGCTCCCATTTCCATGCAAAAGTGATCATTAAAGGAATAAAACAACCTAACATGCCGATAAATGCCATACAGATATCAGAGTGCATTCTCCTGCCACCCTAGTGGTGAGTTCAAAATTGATACAAGACAGGTAACTGGCTTCCAACTACACCGCTGATGATGCTAGTTTTGGACCCAACCCCCAATCAGACAGACAGTTCAACACAAGTAATTCCCAATAATTTTGTCAGTTTACCCTGAAAGTTAACTCTCTTGCAGAAACACAAATCAGTCAGTCAGTCAGTTAATCAGTCAGTCAATCAATGAATCATTTGAAGGCATTTCACTTAGACATGTTCTACACATCACAACCATTACATAAAAAATTATCATTCACTTACTTCATGTGTAGCAGTGAGCAAATTGTAACTTGAAGCTGAAAATTGTAAAGGAACAAAAAAATACATCAAGCGAACACCTTTGTAAAGTTTTGGCCATAGAGAGGAAGAATATAAATTGTGCGCTCTTGAAAAGAAGTATTAAAAAAAAGTAGCTAAAAGTTGACTAAGCCGTAAAGTAACCTCAATATTACAATTGATCTCACTGGTCAAATACTACCTTTACATAAACCCCGGAATTTCAATTTTCATTTTCAGTTGAAAGGACAAGACATTAAATGTGTGCTTGATGCCCTGAATAACAATGAGGGCTGGAAAACAGGGGCAGCTATACTAAGACTGCAATCTGAAAATATGTGTAGAATTCACTTTCTATCTATCTAGGAGTGTCAAAATCCACTTGGAATGGTGGTAGAACACTCACAAAGCTTGAAAATCACTTGCCTTAAGCTTGCGACTTGCAAACTCTTCTTGTAAGCTCTAAACATTCCAGGGGGATTTTTTACACAGTTAAGCTTTCTAATCATGTTAGCAATCAAAATATTTCAATCACATCCAAAATAGATACAAGAGTTGAATTTAAGCACATTGCTTAATTGTCAAATAAATTGTAGTTTACTGAGCATTGTTCAGTGTTAAGTTCCAGGCCAGTCTTAATCACTTACTAACCCTTTAATTCCCAGAAGTAATCAGACATGAAAAGTCTCCCTATAATATCCTTATATTATCCAGCAAACAGGTAATGAGAATATTAAAACTTATCATGCAGGTAGAAGTTGTTGTCTTGAACTAACACTTAATTCCCATAACTACATGTATTTTACAACTGTGTAGCAGCTAGAAGGGTGAATTAACAATCAGATCTTTGGAGTTAAAGGTTTAATAAATAAGATGGCTATTCTTTACCTTCTGAGATCATTTGCTCTTCAGAGAATACCCCTACTACATAGATTGGGAAATTTGTTTTCACTCCACTTTCTTGGATTACTCTGCAAACAATACATGTAGATCAATCAATTGCAACCATTAGTCTGCAACAATTTAATTAGTATTTAACCCAGAGACAAGGAAGCTCTTAGAAAACAGCTGAATTCAAACTCAGCCCTTAGCCCTTTGCAGTAACGTTTTTCAGTATGCACATTCTCCATACTACATCTATATATTTCTATGGAGCTGACAGGGAGAATTTGTTTTACAATCAAGAGCTGTTTTAATAGGTGTTCAATTCCTCTATTCTCAAGACTTTAATGTTTGATTCAGCAGTCATATTGTAAGGAGAATTAGAATTCGTATCCCTCTTAGGGTTTAAAGAGTTTAACAACTGAGCTGGTCATCTGTCTCATGACAGTTTAAAAACACATTTCTGTGCATGTTGAGATATCATTGACCCTTACAAGTACAACCATTTTACAGAAAGATGTTTTTCATCAGGTCAGGAGTGTTGGACAAAGGAAAAAATTCTGAGTTCCCAAGAGGAATCCACACTCTGATGCTTTACCATTGAGCCACAGAGACTCCATGGTGAGCAAGGGCCCTTATGAAGTTCATATATGACACACTTCCTGTATACTGCTTGGATCAGCAATGTCAATCATGTTTGTTCATAGAATAAGAGAGATGTATTTTATTCTGTAATTACTTATAAGAGTTTAGATCCTCTCATTTTACCTTGCAACAGGCTTTTCTTTTCCCCCTGTTATAAAGATATTGGTCAGGACTATTTCTGCTGATGGGAAGTGAAGAATTTTATGAAGTTCCTCTCCTTGAAGCTGAGTAATGACAAAGTCATCTACAAATCTTCTTGCTTCAGCAGGTCCCTTAAATTCAAATAATTATTGTCAATAAAAAAATACTGAAATTTTCTACTGCAAACCAATCAGATAAGTGATACAATCAAACACAAATACACATTAACCTTGTTAATAATATATTACCTTTGTTAATTACAAAATAACCCATACACCTAACATCACTCACTAAAATTAATGGCTTTTTTTGTGAAAGGAAATCACAGAGTTATATACCATAAACTACAGCAAAAAAAATAATTGCTGTTAGTACTTTGCGATATAGGTACCAGGGTACATGTATTTACCGTTGTTGATTGGAATGGAGATGAAGCAATGGACTCTCATGCAGTGAATTTGGGATAATTGGTAACTCCCAGAAGTGATTTACATGTAACTTCTCCTTACAATATCCATACACTATCCCACAAACAGGTAATGAGATTACTCAAACTTATCAGTTAAAGGTTGTTATCAAAATATAACACCAAATTCTTGTAACTGAATTACAAGGAAATGTATAACAGCCAGTTGGGAGAATTAACAATCAGATCTTGGGAGTTAAAGGGTTAAAGACTTAAATGTGGGATGAAAAATATTTAGTTTACACTATAAAATAATATTGATTTTTACATGTTAGTTTACCTGATCAATATAAATTGCTCCAATAAATGCGAAGAATGCATCACAAATGACATCCTCCTGTCTATAATCCAGATGTTTCTCTTTGTTAAGTTCATCTAAGTCATGCTGTGTAGCAAAGGAAAAAAAAGAAAAAAAATTAATGCAGAATGAAGTATCAAACATTCAATGTCATACAAGCTGAAAAATCATGAGGTTACACCAAGAGTGACACATATATGTATACAACAGTTTTGAGACAGGTTGCCAGAAAAAAAAAGTGTAAAAGTGCACAAGACAACCTGAAAAGATATTGTGGGTAGTTCTCAGATCACAGTTCCTTGACTGTAGGATTTCAGGGAAAACTTAGAACATGTCACAGCAAGGATATTGTGGGTTAGATTAATTTTTTAAATTTATTTCACTTATTAAAATTCATCAATTACTGGATACCAAGATTACTGCTTGAGATTGCTGTTTACACTTTTGCCTTGAAACAGCTATGCATACTGTACTTCAATTAAGCTTGATTAATAATTTTCCTTGCCGTCAGTAAGATAGAAGAAGATTAGAGGGAAACAATGTTCAAATTAATACAATTGAGGTTTTTAAGTAATTACAACAAACCTGAAAACAGGATATGAATCAAATCTCTAATATTAAATTTATTTAGTTACCTCCATTCTGATCAGGTCTGCCAATGCTATGAGTTTTGATAACTTTACAATGGTACTTCTGCCCATGAGAAAATCATGAAGACATCTGTGTAAAGGAATGCAGTTTGATGTTAATAATTAGAGAGTTAATTTTGATGGTGTTTCTTGGGGGTTTGAAAAATTGCACAAAAACTAAGATTTTGGATCAAGGAAGAAAAAGAAATCACTTGAGAAAGGATATTATTGCAAAACTAAGTTTAGTTTCTATGATATTTAACCCTTTAACTTCCAGAAGTGATTAAGATAAAACTTCTCCCTTCAATATCCATACATTCTTCAGCAAACAGGTAATGAGAATATTCAAACTTATCAGGTAGAAGCTGCTATCTTGATCTAGCACCAAATTCTCATTACTAATTTACAAGGAAATGTGTAGCAGCTACAGGGGAGAATTAACAATCAGATCTTGGGAGTTAAAGGGTTAAAGCAAAAACACTTAATTTACATTCCATCAGTATGTTGGAGTTGTATTCACAAACACATGATATGGACAGTGCACTGGGAATGAAATGCTGTATTTTCATTTTCAATCTTGGGTGAATCAAAAATTTTGTTAAACAATTACTTATTATCTTATTATTACCTTTTTCATCCTTTTCTTACTTCTAAAAATATTGGATAGTTCTACTGTATTAGTATCATAGGCAGGTTAACCTTGTAGTGTTGACTTGTGAGGTAATGGCCACATTTCAGTACAGTAACTATAAAGTTGCTTTGTGCTTCAGATTTTGGGTATAATATATGTCTCTGCAGCCTTAACCCTTTAACTCCCTGAAGTGATCAACAAGAAACTTCTCCCTCTAATATCTAGACATTATCCAGCAAACAGGTCATGAGAATATTCAAAATTATCAGGTAGAGGTTGTTATCTTGATCTAACACCAAATTCTTGTAACTTATTTACAAGGAAATGTGAAGCAGCTGGAGGGGAGAATTAACAATCAGATCTTAGGAGTTTAAAGGTTAACACAACACCATACATATCCCTGAGACATAGAGACTGTGTGCTCAAATCTCTTTAGCTGTGCCATAAATCAGTCTCACAAACGTAATACTATATACATCTGTACATGCATTTTGCATTGCTACTTTCAATGCCAAAATCAAACAGTGACACCACAGAATTTGTTTGTAAGATATTTACCTTACACCTAAGCAGGGTAGGGAGGGGTATGTGTTACACAAATGATCAACAATATATAATGAAGAAGCTGTGACTCCTAAAAAAGATATTAAAAAAAGAAATGATCAGTACCATGTAAAAGAAAAAAAAAATTTTTCATTTCTCTTGCAGACTACCTAAAATTGAATCATAACAGAGAGACAACCTATACAATTCTGATTGCAGGCACAAAATTTTCAAATACATAAACAATAGGGAAGGTGCAATTTTAGGCCCTGTAACTAACCAAGTTCAAGGTCTGTTCTATAAATTATAAATCAAGTTTTTTTTATTGGATTTATATTACTGGTGAAAAGCAACTGAGCCAAAAGTCAAGACAAAGAGGTCAGTAAGATATTTAATGCATATCTGGGATCAAAAAGGAGGGAAATATTTCATTTTGAACAAAACTTTAAATCTAGGGGGCTGTACAGTGAAACACAGCCTACTAAATTGAACAATCACAGCAAACAAAGTAACTGAGAGATATCACAGATCTATTTATCACAGATATAAACAGGTCCTGATTAAGAAAAAAAATATAGCCAAGATGTCAGAATTAAGAGTTAAAAAAAAATGGAAAACTACAAACCAATCAGTGACAGTTTTCCATTATTCTCCTGTGTGTGAACTGATCCTTTTCTACCGTTATGTTTGTAGGACTCGTGAGTCAAGGCCGTTCTAAGCGTGTTATCATCTTGAAAAGTTAAACCCAGTCTGTTCTTGAATGCAAACAACTCTCTTTCAAAGTTTCTTCTGAAAAATTCTTTTTTGTCAAAAACTCTGCAAAAAGGAAAAACAACATAAATTAATTTACTGAACTGATGCTTTCATTTACTTTCAATAACACTGCATCAGATCACCAGTAAATGCTTAACTTTGCTTAAGAAAATTGTGGTCTTGTTCAAAATAAAATTTCTATGGACTCTTTAAGGCAACTACTACTAATCACCATTTAAAGAATATTATAATCATCATTATTGTGGAATAGGGCTACCCCCCTCCCCATCCAAAAAAAAACAGGACAGTTTACACTGTAGGTGATGTCAAACCCTTGCATGGTTGCCGTGACTGCTTATACCCACCTGGATGGAACATCCCTGGTGCAAAGTTTACTAAGCTGTCACAACACTGCCATTGTTGGTTGGAGGTTTTGATACTTGTGTGGTAGCACCTCCAAACTTTAAAACTTATCTCAAAATACATTTAAAACCATAAATTTACCTTAGGTCAAAAGTTGGGGGTAATGCAACCATGCTTTTTGGTGATGGAAATTCACTTTTAGGCAATGGAACAAGGAGACCACTTCAATCGTTATGGTGACACAATTCCTATTCACAGCCTAACAACTTAAAAAATACTCTTAAAATGATTATGACAAACTCACAGTGGCTGAATTCCTTCTCGCTCTTTAAGTTTTAGCCTTAAATTTCTCTCTCGTCTTCGTTTGTCTCTGTTACTTCCTCTAAAAAATCGCACACCTGTAGCATGAGGTAAACACATCAAATTGGCTATTATACTTCAAACAAGAAAACTGTAATAATTATTACTTCACAAGTCTGAAAAGTCCATTAAAATATTTTGTATTCTTTAAGCAAGCTTACACCAACTATTAGTCTGTAAGGAGTGATCAGAATGTAAATTCTACCAACAATTTTAATACCCTGTTAAGTATGTGGGTAACAAGAATTAAGGAAAGGAATGTGATCTTGATAGAATACCAGATTCCCAGGACAAGCCTAACAAAAAATTAGAGGAAAACACTAGGTAGAGAGATTAACATTAATATATTAGGAGTTGAATAGATAACATAATACTTCCTCTTCGAAACAAATTTAAGACCTTAAAATTATGTTCCAAAGGAAATATTTTCTAAGACTATACACATGTACAATTTCAGCATGTGCGGCTGAGCCACTGAACACTCATTTTGAACGCGAAAAAATATCTGGTTTGTTAGTGTAGAAAGTTCTTAAAAGCTGACTCCGAGTATTTATACGAAACACACTGAAACCGTGACATGGGAGTTAGGAGGGACATACGCAGCACATTTGTTCCCCTGGCGCACCTTGATACACGTGTAATATAGAGTTTACATCTTTGACGAGTTACATTACATCACTAACACGACAAACGTGACTTATTGCATCAGTGCACAGCTTGGATCGCCATGCAGCTCAGATAAACCACAAGATATTAAAACAAAAACGATTTGAAAACTTTTATTTCTAGGGAATACTATAACCCTAAATTAATTCCATCGTGTGAAGCTCACGGGGATATTTGAGTATGGAGACTTGGCGAATTTAATGTACGACAGATCAACATCTTTCAGAGCTTGAACACAGATTGATTCATACCTGAAATTACAGAAGCACTGTTTAAAACGTTCATTTGAGGGAAACCTTTCCACTGTGAGCAGCATTGTCGTAATAACGTAGAACAAACCACAACCTCTTTCATTACCGTGGTCGCCATGTTCATATCACGACATCAGTCTGTTGTGTAACAGTCATGTAGTGTATAGAGTTCGTGTGAGTAACTAGACCCAGTCTTCCTCAGCGAGTGAGGCTGAACGCCATTTTGGTTTCCTCAAAGGATTTGAGAGAAGACTTTTGAGATATTTTGTAAGCCATGTGGTTAACTAGAATCTTATGCAAGCGACATATACCTGGAAGGATTTATGGCGGGTAATTATACTTTCATTAACGTGTTTTTTCGGAGAATATAACTCTAATCAATTATCTTCTGCTCTCTGAAAACTGTAAACCATCAATGATTGTGATCAAACTTAATTAATTTTCTGAGTCATCCATCAGCAAAGAAGGGATAAGGACCTATTGGAAAAATTTGATCAAGGAATAACACACAAAAATGATTTGGAAAATGGTTTTGTGATTGTGCAGTACTTTGTTGTTAAGACGCAGCAAGATGATATGATCGAAAATGTTAGCATTGTACATGTGCACTATAGATGGCGATTGCGGTGGCAGTGGTGGTGGTGGGGGGGTTGGTTGGGGGTGGTAGGGATATGGAAAGCAGTACATTTAAGAACCTGTGATATTGTTTTGGGAGTTTTTGGAAATTGTTAACAATCAGTTCATTTTGAAAAGTAATGTTGCAAGAATGGAGTGACTAATTCTGGACTTTTGGTCTTTTTGCTTGTGGTATGCACAATTTAAAGTGGTTCTGTATGTGCAAGGTTTTTTCAAGCCCTGATACTCTCTGTGGAGTTAGTGACAGCTATCATTGAATGGAAGCCATTATGAGGTCATGCAGAGCTTGACAGCTAATTCTTACAAGTCTGTCATGGAAAATTATTAGCAGTGATGTAATTGGCTGTCAGACTCTAGCACAATCCAAAGCTACAAAAAAACTACTGAGTATTACAGGCAGAAAAACTAACCAATCACTTTTGGCAAACTAGGCTAATGACATTGGATTGACAAGACTTCTATTTACAAGGTTTTTTAAAACATCAGCTACCGTCTCTGAGAACAGTTCTTTACAGTATTACCTTCATTCTACAGTGTATATTGTCAACTGTTATAGCTGTACTTCCATAATAAACATATAACAGTTACCAAGGTACAGGTTATTAATTGCCTTTGCTATGCAAAGATTAATGGCAGTGGAAGATGTGAGGGTCTTTAAAGACATGGTGAAAGAATTAATGTTAATTTCCTCATTTTGTTAAATGTACTTTTCAGGAAGTACCGTCTTGTGAAAAGGGAAACACCAACCATCAGGCGAACTAAAGTGAAAAATGAATTGAGATTACAAAGAAATGAGAGTCTTCTGGCAGTTCCCTATTTGACACAGGTAGGTTTAAAAGTACCAAGTTTTAAATCACAAGTTTAAGTAGTCCTCAGAGTTGTCATTAAAAGCTGGTGTGTGGCTGCAAACCCACTGGCTGTCATGATACTTTAAGCTGGCTACTTCTTGATTTTTGATGAAAGACAGAAAATAAGTATCTTTGACAAGGTAACTTGTTATTCTCAAGTGAGTTGATAACATAAGTTGGCCACTGCTAAGAGTCTCAAAGCTGGCATTTCAGGCATTAGTTCTTCATACTAGTATTCTATTTGGTGCATTTGGATAATAGATTATTACAACCTTTTTTAACCCTCTGAAATATTATATGTGTTTCCTTAGATCTCCACATCATGACTGACAATGCCTTAAAAGCAATTTGCTTAATACATTGTGTCTATTGCATGATGCATTATGAGAAGGCACTGTAGGAACTAAGAATTTGTAGAACATATTTCCATTTTTTTTTTCTAAATTTTGAAAAGGTTAAGAAAAATTATTGTTTTCTATTTTTCTATTTTCTTATATAGGCACAAGAATTTGAACATGCTTGGGAAAGGAAACAAGAAGAACAGAGGATGTTTAATGAAGCTTGGCAAAAACACAAAACCAAAAAACTGAAGAATGTGTATGCATTTGGACCTCTAAGTCAAGGGAAAAAGGAAAACATTATGGAACACTTAAATGCTACAAGAACTAAACATGAATGATTAAGATTTTTAAACATCTGTCACTGTACATTCATAAAATGTCACCATTGCAAGTCAGTGGATACTATCAGAACTACCAATACATGTACATGCAGACTTGACTTTGATGTCTATCAGTAATAATGCTTGGGTCAAAAATAGTGAAGGAAGCATTGCATTCTACTTAGGATTTCACATAGTCATAGGAAAAGCATGGCACAAGTACTATATTACAATTTAAAATTTTAGCAATGTTAATTTTGTAAATTTTCAAAGTTTATAAATGTAGAATTCACATGATGTAAGTGGTGAGTTTTACACACAACTTTAAGCAAAAATTTACCTTTTCACTGCCAAGATCTGATTGTTAATTCTCCCCACCAGCTGCTACTCATTTCCTTGTAAATTGGTTATAAGAATGTGGTGTAAGATCAAGTTGACAACTTTCACCTGATAAGTTTGAGTATTCTCCTGACCTGTTTGCTGGATAATGTATGGATATTATATGGAGAAGTTACATCAATGGTAATCACTTTTGGGAGTAAAGGGGTTAAGTCATGCACTCTCAGGCTCACTCACTTAGGAGATAGGGCTCACTCACTGACATTATGGCAAAAAGTCAGAAAAGGGGATATTAATCCTTGAAGCTTGAATTTATGTTTTGGACAGCATCATTGTTTGGTTGGATTATGTTTGAAGGAATTTTAATGTTAATGGATATTGTGGTCAATTAACTCAAGAACAAAAATTTGTTCATTAGTCCAGCGTAAACTTTTAGAGGGCATTGTGTAATGACTTTGTTTTAGGTGCCAAATACACTCAGCCACCATAAGTTGGTGAACTAAATATGTTCCCAGAATTTAATGTGATGAGGTCTGGTTAAAGCCAGTGCCAAGGAAACTTTGTTTGCACATTAACAGAGAACATGCATCAAAGAAACTTTTGGAATTAAATGTCTTAGTGTAAAAATTTGTTTATTTACCTACCTTGGTTTTTTATCTTAAAAGCTTTCAAAAGTCAATGGCAGTGAGGGGAACTAAACCAAAAGTTTAGGTTACCGTAGAGGAATGGTTAGACACTGATGATTGGCTCAGAAACAATTTTGAACAATAAATTTGCAGCAGGCATCGTCACTTCTTGTGAGAAACAATATTTTCTAATGTGACCTTGGCCAGTGTTGAATATTCAACAATAGTATCAGCCCATGTTTATCTTTTACTATTAAAAGTGAGTTCACTCCCTTTGTTGGAATATCATTAAAAGCAACTGTTCCAGCTACATGGCAATGCAAATTAATTGACCAAAGCTTTCATGTGAAATATCATAGGAAAAAAAGTTAACTAAAATACTTTTCAAAGTTCATGAAAGTTGGAGAAAGAGAGAGGAGAGTCAGAAACACATGGAAATCTTGGATTTTAAGACATAAAAACTTGTGGTAGCCAATGAAATTCCAGGTTGTTTTGTCATCACCTGGAGAAAAGTAGCTCAATACACCAGTAAAACTTGACAAAAACCAGAAAATACCTACCGTATTTACTTGTGTATAAGTCGACCTTTTATGACCAAAAAATCAGCCCAATAAATCACCCTTGACTTGAGTCATAGACACGAGTCACACACAGACCTGACCCAAGCAATCCAAGAAATTAGCATAACAATTGCCTGAAGTCCGTTAGGAAAACCAAGTTCACAAAAACAAGAAAGTGAGGGTCATTATGGAAAGTGCGGGTAAAAATGCTAACATTTTTCACAGTGACATTTATAAATTGATTCTCGTAATTAAGTTTGCAATGCAAGAAATGTTGTTGTATTGAATATGCTTCCACATTCAGCATTTTCCCTTTTTTGGGGTACAGGTGTTGAAGTCAGCCCGGTACAACAAGAAAACAAAGCTGTGTATTTACCAGAGTTGTGTCCCGTCAACCTTGCCATACAGCTCAGAGTGTTGGTGAATTACAGAGGCTAAACTTAAAAGGTTGTTAGTTTTCCACAGGACATGTCTCTGAAGGATCTCTTGTATATTTTGGCCAAGAACCATCTCCAATCAAGAGCTAATGGAGCAGTGCCAACTTGAGGATACGAAGAACAGACGATGGAGATGGATCTGGCATGTCCTTTGAAGAGAACCTGATAGTATTGCAAGAGTGGCCATCCACTGGACATCAGAGGGAAAGAGAAAGAGAGGCCGACCTTAAACATCTTGGCAGCGAACAGTCAAAGAGAAGATGAAGCCATACACCAGATGTGGGGGTCAATACAGGAGCAGGTTGAGGAAGGGGTGCATGGGTAGTAAGTAAGTGAGTAACTGAATAGATAATGTAAAATGGCTACCATAAAAAGATTCTAAAGCTAATGTTTTGAGCATTAGCCTAACACTCAAAATGTTAGCTTTGGAAATTCTTTAATGGAGGCTATTTTACATTATCGGCTCAGTTAAGAAAACCAAATTATCTTGTAATGTTCTTGTATATAACAGCACCAACGCCTGAGAAACTTGTAGTCATTTTACCTACTGAAATGGCTTTAATTAGAATTTAAAGATTTGTGGACTAGTTTACTCTTCTAAAGGTAACAGAACATTGCATTAAAAACATAACTGCAATGCACTTACAACAATTTCAGATAACTTATCTACTAAACTTAATACGTACAAATATATATATTGTCCACTGTCATCTACAAAATCAGTGTATAAATAAATCATAGAATATTTCCTTTTTAGGCTATACAGTAATGTTGATTCAATACATAATTCATACTTTAGCATAAAAGCAAGTTTAAAATGTTTGCAAGATCTGGCTTTGTTTACAGGTAGGTTTATTGAAAACAGAACAAATAAACTAAAAAACCCTGCAGAAAGAAAGAAAATGCAAATGTTCTACAAAATTTCTCTACAGTCATTGAGTGCCTTTAAAGCCAGTATTTTCCCAGCAGGGAACAGTGCTAATTACTTCCTAATCCTGTTATTCCTTCTCAAATCAGTGTTTGTCAAATATTGCAGTACCAATCCACATGAGTGTTGTAAACAGAGACAACAAGAAAATAATTTTTCCGGTTCTGTGCTAGAAAAGCGCCTCCCATCTCCCCTAGTATTTGTAAAGTGCCCAGTCTTGATCATAACCTAGGATGTTGTTATTCTCACTCTCAGGAGGTACTGAGTAAGACGTAAGATGCGGTTTATAATGATGTTGACACTACTTTTGATTTTCCGTACACCATCATAACCGGAGGAAGGTTATCTGTAACAAAATAAGTTCAAAACAGTTAGTCAAGCGCTAATTGTAACTGTGTAATGAATATTACCTGTAAATTAAGTAACTGTCTGTTACAACAATTGAGGTACTACGACTTCGGCGACAGACAAACGTACGCCTTAAGGACCTATTTAACACCAAATGGCCAAGGGATCACAGAATTTTCATCAATGAATCGCAAGAAAAGGGCAAAGAAAACAATATGTCACTGCACAGCAGTGTGTCTAATAGTCATCTGTACCCTTGGCATTTTTTTTGCTTAATTGCTCAGCAGCATTAAACTAAACCCTAAGCCAAATTAGATTTCAGTGTTACCTGACAGCACAGTTATGTCTTGAATAAATTGCTGAGCCATGTTTTCCTCGTTAGGAGGATGGGGAAGACCAGTAAATACAACGACTGGAAGAAAGGCAACATTAATAACATTCATGATGAATCTACACTCTTCAACTGTGTCAAAACTATGAGTACACAAACACATTCGCTAAATGTGACGGCAATTATATGCAAAGTCTCTAACTGAAGTCTCCCGCATCCTTACAAATGCTCTTTGAGAATATTTCATGATAACTGATACACACATTTACACCTCAAATTCTCAATAAACTTAAGTAACATTGCATTACCGGTAACTGCATCAGATATGAAACCTACGCGTAAAACTTACATGCGTCTGTTGAGTGAATTCTAATGAGCTGATTCACTGTTCGATACCAGTTGGTAGAGGGCTATATCGGGAAAAATAACTAGAGTCAGTCAGCTGGCATGAAAACGTCACCTACCAACAGGCTTCTACTTTTCCCATTAATTACGTTATATGGAGAATGTTAACGTAGGATGTTTTGAAAACCAGCCGTCATGTCGATGAAAAATTACAGCGGGAAGATTGATCTTTTGGAAAAGCAAGGTAGATCGTATGAACTCACCGCTAGTCCATCAGCATTTCTTGTAAGAGAAAGAGATTCTTGTGTAACGTGAATCATCTAGGATATAAACAAAAGGAAGGTACGTATGTGATAAAAATGTCTTCTTATTGAAGATAACCCGTTTATGAAAGAAAATGACTATTTGGGGACCATGAACCAAACAAACTTAATCATGGCATCGTTGATGTTACAGAATATGGAGATCTCCAAGGGAAATGGCAGCTATTCAGACTAAATCATTTTTTGCCCTCTGAACTCCCGAGAAAGTCCTTTGGTATCATTCTTTAAATTATAGCTTTCGCAGGAGAAAATATCTGCAATAAATTTAGAGGAATTTTATAAGAAGGCCAAGGGACAACCTTGTAATGAACTGAACCGATCAGCGACACAATTACGTTCATCAGGAACTGCGAATAAAAATCAAAGAGAACAGAGATTTTTACCCGAACTTCTGCAGGAATTCTAAGTTCTTTGAGAAGATTTGTTAGAGTTCTGTGCTGTGTTTGGTGGTTTCCTTCATCATCTACACAAAAATAAAAAGAAACAGATTTGACAAGTTCCCACAGTTTTTACTATGCCTTGACAAACTTTAGCACTGGATCTGATAACAATCTATGATTTTCCGTTCGTTTGATTCATTTGAGTGAATGGATGGGTGCCATAATGCTATCCATAAAAGTAAGAGAAGAGTTTCGAGTGATGTTAGGGAAAACACTGCAAGCAACGATTTCAATGAAGCGCCTTTCCATCGAGAATCGTAAGGCCAAAACAAAAGTAATCCCAACGGCCAATAAGAGCAAGGTATATTATCTCGAGGAACCTATAGGGAATGAGAGTGAAAACACGTAAACTACCTGAAAGGCGGGAAAACGCGTGTGAACGAGCCCTGATTGGTTGCATTTGACTGGTTGAGGGGTTGGCGCAACTTTCTAGGCCAATCACTCAGCAAAGTAAAACAAAACCAAACCGGGTTTTTTCGGCTCTAATCGTTAAATTTCTCTTAATGGGATTGGGTTTTATTACGTCTAGTGGAGACCATACCATGTTATAATTGTACATTTACCTTCAGTCTCCACGATCTGCATGACTCTAAGTTTGGACCGATTCTCCCAGAATGGTACCATATGAAGAACACAACTCAACTGGAGCGTTAGGAGGAACGTGAAATCATAAGGACCTAGAACCTTCTTTAATGCTTAAAGACAAAAAAATCAACTGCTTGGTTACGTGGACTCTCAACTGAGCTAGGAGGCAAGATAACTGCAAGGGAATGGCCGCCATGTCTCGTAATTTTGGCAGAATAAAAGAGTACGGGAGAAGAATAAGATGATGACACCAGTTTTCGTGAAAGAAACGTTTCACGGATTATTCAAAAATACAATACACAAACATGAAGCGATGTAGTAAAGGTTTGAAATACCAGAGGATTTAGATAAAAGGGATCTTTGATGAACCTTGCAGCACCAAGGGGGGAGGGGTAGGGGGTAAGAACTGAAAAGAAACACACACTATTATCCAAACCTTATGTATGGCGTTAACATACTTTTAACCTTTGTAGACTTAAGACTTAACAACAGGGCCTCACCTTCTCCCACCACTGTCGTATTCATTGGCCACACATCTGAAAAAGGAAACGCTTAAATGAGTGCAGTATGACCAATGGAATAGAGAATTATCGAAAATGTATTACACGGAAGTATTTGCTACTGCTGCTGCTGCTGCTGCTACTAAGAAGAGTTTAGATGACGGTAATGGTAAAAGAGGGGGAGGGGAAGAGGGATTTACTTGTAAAATCATGGATAGGCTAATTTTGAGACCCTCCTCAATAGCTAAAAGGAGGTCCTTCCTCTGAATGGTTAGCGCATGTTAAACAACCTTTAAATACAACTTAAAACAGTTTTTAACACCTGATGGTAACAGAGTGGTATCACTTACAATTACCCAACATGATTCCAAAAACACGACTTTCTTATGTAACAAAAAACAAAACACCAATAAAAAAATAAGCATGTTATACTCAACCAATGTATCCTTCCCTGCCGAGAGCGTTCTTGTCCAGTTGAGCAAAGCTGAAAAATTCACCCATAGTGATAAGAATATTCATTCTGTTGTCTTTGTTTAAAATTTAATTATACTAAGAATAGGCCAAAAGCAAACAGAGGAGCAAACATTTGAGCTCTGACATTTCCTCATAGATTAACTTTCACGACTCGACGAGGTTCTCGTCCATGCCTCTAAAACACTAGTTGGGAGCAATTACCAATTGAGCTACGCAGCCACATGTTAGGGGCTGAATAAATTTTAGTGGGTTCTTCGTTCCCGCTAAAGAAAAAGAAAAGGAATATTTGCTTTGTGGCTGCTCAGGAGTAAATAACAAGTGAGGTGAATCCCAGCTAGGCACTCGAAAATATTTGTAGTTTAAGTGAAACACACAGGAAAGTAATGAAAATGGCTTTTCGGTAAAGTGGCTCTAAGATACATAATATACTTCAGTATAACGTGACTTACTTTCTGGCTATGCAGACATTTTTGTCCATTAAAACCGCATCCTGTCAATGTAGGAAAAAAGAGGAAGAAGATGAAGAAAAGCACTATTTGTATTGAATTGTTTTAGTATATAGATCAACTTAAACGTGAATGTTGCGAATACTTGAGATTGATATATGATATGAAAGTAATTGAGATTGATATGGAAACTCGCACCACATTCTCAACCGATGAGATGCAAAACTAAAACCAATCTCGACTTTATCACTCCCGTTTTCCCATACTTCAGGTATTTTGCTTGTTCTCACCTCAATATCTTATTGGCTTCTTGTGACATTTACCCGAGTTCTGATTAACCGACGTGATTAACTCAGTTTTTATTTTTCGACCCTCGATCGAAAAGCACTCTAAGGCAACTGTGATTCCCTGGCCATCTGCAATCGTAAACTGACTATTTTTGGTGGTTTTGAAAACAACGTGTTTCTGCCCTACATGCTTAAAAAATTGTCACTAAAGATTCTACAGCAACTGCCTACCTTTATAATTCCTACATAGTCCTTTAATGTCATTTTCTGATGTCCAGGCTGGGTGAAAGACACACAACAAAGTTTTAGAAGACAATAATATCGAGAGCGTCATTAGGGCCAGTTGTCAGGATTATACATTTTAACGTAAGGCTATGGTCATCTAAGTCAAAGACACTCCACTAACTTCGTGATTGCGACATAGACTTGACTACACTTTCTCGTTAACTTACGTGCGTTCGAAGTGGTGGGAGTTGTAACTGTACACTGCGGTAAATTTCATCTATGATAAAAATAGAAACAAAGAAATATAAAAAAAAAAGACCATTCCAGAGAAGTTTAGAGGAACAAGTATGTCCGATCCCATTTCTTACCTTTCTTTTGCACCCTCATGAACGGAAGTCTTGGTTTCCTGAAGATTCCACGAGAAAAACTCTCCACAGGGAGCTCATGATCGTAAAACCCTGTTTACAAATGCAGGAAGGAAGGTGAATTTCGATTTTTCTTTGATAGACTGTTTGTTGCGTTTTCTTTGTGGAAAGTGCACGGGCCTTCTGGCTTGCATATTGGATTACAGATCATTAGCAGTGCAAATACGAAGGTTAAGAGCGAGCACCGACTAGTGTGGATGGACGAGTCTTTGCTGGCTCATTTGGCACGCCAACTTGTTTTCTCGCGGAAACACCAGCCATACAGCACTATTAATAAAGGTCTGGTTGAGGACTACATTCACCCAGGAGCAAAATGGGTATTTGTTGGTATTCCTCAACTTTCTAGTTAGCTGGACAAAATGCAGAAGTGGGAGTTACATAATATGGACTGGCATCTAGTCTAAAGGAAGAAACAACACTTCAAAATTTATTGAAAATGGAACAAGCTGCTGCTATGTGGGATAATTCTGGTCGGAAATACCTAAGGCAGTAAGGCCTTTTCCCTGTATTGTTGTTTCTTTCATTTTCATCTTCCTTCAAGTGTTGTCTCCAAAAAGGTTTTGTCAAAAGGTTTTAACAATAAAATAGCGTTACACCTTTAATTTTGATTTTACCTAAGATTAGAGTGTTTGGTTTCATTCCACCCAATCCAGACGCCTAAAACACACACAGAAAAACAGTATCACTCAGAAAGTTTTAAGATCAGTATAATTTGAATGTCAATAGCAAACTAAGGTTACATTAGTTTTCCAATCGTCCGAAACCTTGCGCCGTCTTTTGAACCAATCAGAAGTAAAACTTAAACCAATTGCGTCTTAGTCATAAGAATTTTTCAGCGCTATCGGCAGTTTACTTGTTTTTACTGTGAGTTCTCAATGCCAGCTTATGATGTTTTCCTTTCCTCAGATTGGCCTCTGTGATTACTTTGGTTCTGGTCACTTTCAGACATTCAATCAAAATGCGCTTTCCATGTGAAAGCTATAATTGGCTTAGAAAGCGAAAAATTTTCGGAGGAGTGAGAAACATCGCAAAGCAAACAATTCAGTGCTAATGACATTGGGTTTTGAAATAAAAAAATTGCGTCATGACCTCTTGCGGTTGCTCTATTTTTTCAAATTTAAATTCAACAAATAACATCTTAATAACTTTTGGAGCAAAAGAATGCAGACAAAGTAACTTGAATGTTTTTCACATGATTCACCACAAGGCTAAGACTCTGTCTAAAAGGAATTATTAATCAAACCTGATTAAAGTGATAATTTCTCACCATAAGCAAGTTTCGCGCACCAGCACGTATCGTTCGTGCAATAGTCAGCTCCACAAAAGCCTTTATTTCCGTACAATCAACGAAATTTAGCCAGGTTGTAAGTTCGCGCTTTTGTCCTCTCAATAACTGTGCACAGCAGAAAAATAGTAGTCAATCAATCGGTCAGTCAATCAATCGGTCAGTCAATCAATCGGTCAGTCAATCAATCGGTCAGTCAATCAATAGGTCAGTCAATCAACCAATCAGTCAGTCAAGCACTTGGTCAATTAATCAAGTGGTCAGTCATTCAGCGAGTCAGTCAATCAATAATGATAACCAACTAGCCAACTATTCACTTTGCAACTCAACTAATCAGTCAGAGTAAGTTAGTTTTACCATCTGAGTTGATGATGTAAATTGGCCACCGTAAAGAGTCTCGAAAGTTGACATATCAAACGTCAAACCTTTGTCAGAGCGAATGACAATGGTAATTCTCGAAATACTAGCTTAAAAAACTCTTAAAGGTGGCCAATTCACATTACCAACTCAGTTTATGAAACCAAATTATCTTCAAGTAGCCCCCCCCCTCCCCAACCCACTGAACCAGCACTATAGTGTCTTTAAAAATGTATCCCCATTGGTTTGTCATTCTGTCGGTGATTCAGTCAACTCCATGACATACCAAGGGTGTCAAACAATACTCACTACTGTTGAAAATTTGACTTCTCAATCCAGCGTACATTTAACAAATACTGCAGACAAAGAATTTCTTACCTGAGCATCAAATTCACCCTCTTGGACATGGCCAAGGATATAAAGACCGCCCTGGATATACAAAAGAAATTAATTACTTGTTTAACGAAACAGTGTTGTACACTTTTAATCACTTTTGCAAAATAGTTCAATAAGAAGCGGTGGAAAGAGAGGTTACCAGGAATTAGGAATCAGTGTACTTTCTACATCAATAATATAGACTTGGAACTCATAAAAAGTTATGACTACACTGCAGTATTGGACAGACCCGAACTAACAAAAGTAAGAGCACTATTCGATTCAGTTATTCACTAGCAATTCCTTAGCTGTTCCCATTACAATTTGAGGTTTTTATTAAGGTTTCACAAAAAGTAAGTCAACACGATTTATTTCATACATACTGAACGCAACTGAGAAAATATATCGTTCGTCTAATCAATCAGAGATAAGAACTATTGTACTTCACGGTAGAGGGAAACGAATGGCTTACAATCTTTAAAATGTGTCGGTCAGTATGAAAATATCTCAGTATGTATGAAATAAACATATCATACCAAGAAAAGTGCTTGAACGATTTTTATTCACTTGTTGAGATGCATTAAAAAACTCATTCGCTCGCCGCGCTCACTCTTTCGTTTTCTTGATGCATCGCAACTCGTGCATAAAAATCGTTTACGTGCACTTTCCATGGAATAATCTCTACTTACATCTTAAGTTGGAGATTACAGGGCCTCAATTAAGCCATCACATAACCGCTAAAAGTCAAAACTCCAAACCAGCTGAACCATTCTAAATTGAAATGGCCATTCTTGATTGATTCAAGCACGGAACATTTCTTTACCTTCTTTATGTCATTAACAAAGTCTATCAAGGGGTAACCAGAGCGTGGATTGGACACCAACAACAGCACCTGACAGAGAAACGAAGCACAACTTCTTGTAATTTCTCGCTGCGTCACTTCATTTAAGTTGAATTAAAAAGAATTTGGGGTAATGAGATAGTATACTTCAGCTGATAAGTACCTTTACTTTTGTCAAGTCGTTGCTGGATTTGAGGAGAGATTTATTATAATTTTGAGTATCACTTCTGGGGTAAGTGGCATAGGTTTAATGAAACTTGCCAGTGTAGGCCCTGGTTGTTCGAAGGTTGTATAGCGCTATCCACTGGATGAATCTCTATCCGGTGGATCACTCCACACGTTTTGTTATCACTTATCCTTTGGATAGCATTATCCGCCCTTTATACAACTGGGCCCTGGACTAAAAAAGGCACGGAAAGATGTCGTTTGTCTCGTCACAAGCATGGGACAAAAAGAAAAAGAAAAAGAAAACAGCCCCCGACAAGGAATCAAACTCTGGTCCTTCGCATTCTGCCCTCCTATGCTCTTCCCTGAGCTATTGATAACTCTACTGTGACCTAAGCTATTACTTGCTTTTTATGCGACACACGTCCTGCCCACTGCTACGATCAGCAATCTATTGTTCACGTTAATTATCCTTCTTCTTTACGGAAAACCTTATCCTAAATTTAAAATTCTTGCGTATAAGTCCACTAGTCAGGAACCTTAAAACATTCTGTATTTGGATTTTAAATTGGGCTTTTAAATACCTGAGGTCTCCAGAATTTCACGTGGTCTTTTCTTAGGTCTAATCGAAGGAGGTACTTTCTGACCTGCAGACACAAAACCCTTATTAACAACGAGCTTAATTGTACAAAATAAAATGCTTTTCTTATGCTGCTTAGGATCAAAATAATACCTGATGGTAGATCAAAGCTTGTGACACATCTCCCCAGGGGGTGGGAGGTGTACGAAGAGAAATCACCACAAACAAAATCACCATAAGCGCTGAAAACCAAAAAAATGATTAAAAACATGAAGTTTTGCATTTGGAGTTGACAATCAGACTAAGATTCAGACTATAAACGCTAACAACCATTCATTGGTTGTTGCCTGTCTGAACTTTGCCTGCTGTGCGTAACTCGGGATTAACATGTAATAGTGTAGTTTGATCGTCCGGGTGAGTGTAGTCCTTCTCAGGACTACAATGATTAGGTATGTTCTGATTGGACTTTGGAAGTTGTTTTCATGGTACGTGATGGAATATACGTTGTTGGCGTTGCGAGTAAAGGAGCGGAAAAACACGTTTTAACTTAAAAATTTTAAATGCGTACCCTTCCTATCCCAATAAATCTCGACCTTAATCGACAAGGCTCTCGCGAAGGCTTCAAACCATTACATTTATCAAATGA